GGGGGGGGGTAGGTATGAAGTGGTGAAGACTGATGAGGTGAGGGATTAGAGTATTTTTTTCGTGTATATGCGCTGTGATTACGTTACGGTTCACGAGCGCACAAATGAGGAAAGAGGATAAAGTTTCCACGTGGGTCAACAAATTGTGGTTGATTTGACTTTTGTGGGACTGAATAATGTTGTTTAATTGGCCCATTTGAAATAATGGGCTGGACTTTGGTTAAGGATCTGGGCCTAGCCTGTGCAAATCTTTTTGAGAAATTTTCCTTAGGCACTATCTTTTGTTAAAATATCATGGTATAGCCAGTTTTCACACTGGTCAATGAAAAATAGCCAGCGTTTATCAAGTCAATGAAAAATAGCCACTATTTTGCTGCAACAGGGACCGGTCCAGTATAATATACGGGAGTTCTGGTGCATTTGTGTACGAACTCCAGCATATTATGCTGGACCGGTATACTTTGCTAACTCCTGTAAAATTTGCGGGAGACTGGAGCATCAGTGCTCCAAACTCCAGTATATTATACTGGACAATTATACCTGCTGGAACTCCCGTAAAATTTGCGGGAGTTCCAGCATAATTATGCTTGAACTCCCGTAAAATTTGCGAGAGTTCCAGCATAGTTATCCTGGAACTCCCGTAAAATTTACGGGAGTTCAAGCATACTTATGCTGGAACTCCCGTAAAATTTGCGGGCATATTTTTCCGGATTTTGTACAGTGTTTTCGCTCAGATTTAAAGTGGCTAAATTTCGATGACTTTTGAAACTTGGCTATTTTTCAACGACCAGTGGTAAATCTGGCTATTTTTGAATTCTCCCCTATCTTTTAGTAGTAATTAGACATCTATAGATACCATTTGCAAAATTACGGATTATAAATATCTTTTCTGTGGTTATAAGATATATTTGATGTATTTAAGTTATTGTATTCATGAATACAGTAGTAAAAATAGGCGTGAATCAGGGAAGTCCAGCTAATCAGTTGTTGTATTCGAATGTATTCGACTGTATTCATGGAGTGAAACATGGGATTACAGCTGGACAGATTATTGTATTCGACTGTATTCACAGCATGAAATAGGGGATTAAACTGTTTTTAAAACGGAAAGTGAATCAATTAACATAATAGACTCCTAATATAACTCAACAAACTCAATTATAACACACAAATTTTGTATTTTTCAGTTATAAAAAAGATTCTCAACCGAAAAATACCCAAAAACATAGCAATCTTCAGAGAAATTATATAATACATCTGAATACATAAATTATATTAATTAAAAAAATATATGAATACATTCATGGCATAAAGCGAGACAGTGAATACAATGAAATACATAGAATACAGCGGGATACATTGAAATACAATGAGAAAAAAAGACACTGAATACAATGAAATACATGGAATACAACGAGATACATTGAATTACAATGAAAAAAAAGATAGTGAATACAATGAGATACACAGAAATACAGCGAGATACATTGAAATGCTCTTAAAGAAAAAGTTAATAGAATCTTCAAATTGCTCAACCCCAAACTTCAGACGACCTATTTTAGTCGATGATTTTCCAACGATCCATCGGATTCCGACCATGATTCCATAAGCAGCGATGAGAGAAAGAAGAAGAAAACGAGAAAGATCGCTGAAGAAGTAATTGATAGCATCCGTAACGCATCAGAAGAAGTTAAAGTCCCAGAACTGAATTTGGCTAGCACCCGCTTGTAACGAATCGGAAGAAATTGCTAGCACCCACTGAAGAAGAAATTGACAAGAAGTTAAAGTCCCAAAAAATTCCTTGCCATGGAAAGGAAGAAGAAGAAGAAACATATTGGCAGAAGAAAACAATCAAAATCGGAAAGGAAGAAGAAGAAGAAGAAGAAGAAGAAGAAGAAGAAGAAGAAGAAGAAGAAGAAGAAGAAGAAGAAGAAGAAGAAGAAACATACTGGAGTTGGCAATGGAGATTTCGTTGCCTTCAGTAGGGTCAAGCCAGAGAGGCAGCGTATTTTATGAGAGAGAGGGCAACGTATTTTATGGCTTAAGGGTAGGAGGTGACTATAAATAGGTATTTGGCTATAAAAATCAAAAGGTAGTTATAGAATATAATTTTTTTAAATGGTATTTATTTAAAATAAATAAGGTATCAACCTTTGCTATATGAGGTAACTAATCCAATTTTTTTGTGAATTCTACCATTCCTGTGGGGCTTTTGCATCTATACCCAGTTTTGGGATCACAACTGAAGTTATACCTACTTTGCAAAAAAAAATTGCAAGTCTCGAGTCTGAAGTTAAAAAAAAATTAGTCTGAAGTGCAATGCATTTAAGGCCAATTAAGTCTAAGCTGCAAAAATTACACTTAAGATGCACTTAAGGCCAAATAGGTCTGAAGTGCAATAAATTTTTTCATGCACTTAAGGTCAAAGAGGTCTGAAGTGAAAAATTTACACTTCAGATGCACTTAATGCCAAATAGATCTGAAGTGGAACCAATGGTTTCATGCACTTAAGGCCAATAAGTCCGAAGTGAAAAAATTTCACTTCAGATGCACTTGAGCCCAAATAGGTCTGAAGTGAAACCAATGGGTTCATGCACTTACGGCCAATAAGTCCGAAGTGAAAAATTTTACTTCAGATGCACTTAAGCCCAAATAGGTCTGAAGTGCAACCAATATTTTTATGCACTTAAGGCCAAATAGGCCTAAAGTGCAAATTAAGTACAAATTGCCGAGAAACTGAAATTTATTCTTCGATTTTTAACAATCCAATATACGATTTAACACCTAAGTCTACTCTAAATGAGCTCAAATTTGAAACATAACTTCCAAATACCATCAAGAAAAAACCCCAATCATTAATTTGTCAAAATAACAATAAATCTAACGATTTTGCAATTAAGAAGAAGAAGAAGAAGAAGTATCCCTAAAATAATAGTAAAAAATAAAGCGCCACAACAGGTCACCACTGTAAAATATCATAAACTACCTTAAAATATGTTAACAAACACCGCATAAAATTATTGTCACCCAAAGAAGAAGAAGAATGGGGAGAAAAAGGCCTCAAGTTGTTTAAACTCAAATACCTGCTCAATGAATGGTGTAGTGTGGAATGTGAGGGGCATGAATAAGCCCTTCAAACAAGGGAAGATGTGTAAATATCTTAAGAAATTTAATATTGTGTTTGCTGGTTTGTTGGAAACTATAATGAAGGAGATGAACTTTGCTGCTAGTATCGCTAGAGTAGCAAAGGGATGGACATTTGCTAATAATTATGTTGAGGTAGATAATGGGAGAATTTGGATATTATGGCAGCAGAACCATGTTAATGACACTATCATAAAAACTAATCCTCAAGTCATCCATTGTTTTTTGGCGGATAGGTATTCTTTGTTTTCATGTGAATTTACTGTGATATATGCCAGAAATACTATTGAAGAAAGGAAAGCACTATTGTAACGACCCGACTGGTCGTTTTGAGCAATTGCGTTCGGTTCGACGCTTTGAGGTCACGAGCAGCTTCATACTATGTGTACTGGCTTGCGCAAATTTTGTATTTTTCAGTTATAAAAAAGATTCTCAACCGAAAAATACTCTAAAACATAGATATCTTCAGAGAAATTATATAATACATCTGAATACATAAATTATATTAATTAAAAAAATATATGAATACATTCACGGCACATAGCGAGACAGTGAATACAATAAAATACATAGAATACAGCGGGATACATTGAAATACAATGAGAAAAAAAGACATTGAATACAATAAAATACATGGAATACAACGAGATACATTGAATTACAATGAAAAAAAAGATAGTGAATACAATGAGATACATAGAAATACAGCGAGATACATTAAAATGCTCTTAAAAAAAGTTAACAAAATCTTCAAATTGCTCAACCCCAAACTTCAGACGACCTATTTTAGTCGACGATTTTCCGACGACCCATTGGATTCCGACCATGATTCCATAAGCAGCGATGAGAGAAAGAAGAAGAAAACGAGAAAGATCGCTGAAGAAGAAATTGCTAGCATCCGTAACGCATCTGAAGAAGTTAAAGTCCCAGAACTGAATTTGGCTAGCACCCGCTAGTAACGAATCGGAAGAAATTGCTAGCACCCACTGAAGAAAAAATTGTCAAGAAGTTATAGTCCCAAAAAATTCCTTGCCATGGAAAGGAAGAAGAAGAAGAAACATACTGGCAGAAGAAAACAATCAAAATCGGAAAGGAAGAAGAAGAAGAAGAAGAAACATATTGAAGTTGGCCATGGAGATTTCGTTGCCTTCATTAGGGTCAAGCCAGAGAGGCAGCGTATTTTATGAGAGAGAGGGCAGCGTATTTTATGGCTTAAGGGTAGGAGGTGAATATAAATAGGTATTTGGCTATAAAAATCAAAAGGTAGTTATAGAATATAATTTTTTTAAATGGTATTTATTTAAAATAAATAAGGTATCAACCTTAGCTATAGGAGGTAACTATTCCTATTATTTTCATCTATTTCGGTTGCTCTCTCACGACCAGGATTCTTGTTTTCTTGTTTTCTGTGGGGCTTTTGCATCTATACCCAGTTTTGGGATCACAATTGAAGTTATACCTACTTTGCAAAAAAAATTGCAAGTCTCGAGTCTGAAGTTAAAAAAAATTAGTCTGAAGTGCAACGCATTTAAGGCTAATTAAGTCTAAATTGCAAAAATTACACTTAAGATGCACTTAAGACCAAATAGGTCTAAAGTGCAATAAATTTTTTCATGCACTTAAGGTCAAAGAGGTCTGAAGTGAAAAATTTACACTTCAAATGCACTTAATGCCAAATAGGTCTGAAGTGGAACCAATGGTTTCATACACTTAAGGCCAATAAGTCCGAAGTGAAAAAATTTCACTTCAGATGCACTTAAGCCCAAATAGGTCTGAAGTGAAACCAATGGGTTCATGCATTTAAGGCCAATAAGTCCGAAGTGAAAATTTTTTACTTCAGATGCACTTAAGCCCAAATAGGTCTGAAGTGCAACCAATATTTTTATGCACTTAAGGCCAAATAGGCCTGAAGTGCAAATGAAGTACAAATTGCCCAGAAACTGAAATTTATTCTTCGTGTTTTAACAATCCAATATACGATTTAACACCTAAATCTACTCTAAATGAGCTCAAATTTGAAACATAACTTTCAAATATCATCAAGAAGAAACCCCAATCATTAATTTGTCAAAATAATAATAAATCTAACGATTTTGCAATTAAGAAGAAGAAGAAGGAGAAGAAGAAGAAGAAGAAGAAGAAAAAGAAGAAGAAGAAGAAGAAGAAGAAGAAGAAGAAGTATCGCTAAAATAATAGTAAAAAAGTAAAGCGCCACAACAGGTCACCACTGTAAAATATCATAAACTACCTTAAAATATGTTAACAAACACCGTATAAAATTATTGTCACCCGAAGAAGAAGAAGAATAGGGAGAAAAAGACCTCAAGTTGTTTAAACTCAAATACCTATTCAATGAATGGTGTAGTGTGGAATGTGAGGGGCATGAATAAGCCCTTCAAACAAGGGAAGATGTGTAAATATCTTAAGAAATTTAATATTGTGTTTGCTGCTTTGTTGGAAACTATGATGAAGGAGATGAACTTTGCTGCTGGTATTGCTAGAGTAGCGAAGGGATGGACAATTGCTAATAATTATGTTGAGGCAGATAATGGGAGAATTTGGATATTATGGCAGCAGAACCATGTTAATGTCACTATCATAGAAACTAATGTGCAAGTCATCCATTGTTTTTTGGCGGATAGGTATTCTTTGTTTTCCTGTGAATTTACTGTGATATATGCCAGAAATACTATTGAAGAAAGGAAAGCACTATTGTAACGACCCGACTGGTCGTTTTGAGCAATTGCGTTCGGTTCGACGGTTTGAGGTCACGAGCAGCTTCATACTATGTGTACCGGCTTGCGTGCATGATTGGATTCTGTTTCCGAATGAATCGAATTCGAATTGGAAGAAGGAATATAGTTTTGGAAGCTTAAGTGGTGAGAATTTGACCGGAATTGGACTTTTTTGTAAACGGCTCTGGAATGAGTTTTGGATGATGTCAGTAGCTTCGTATGGTGATTTTGGGCTTAGGCGTGCATTTGGATTTGGATTTGGAGGCCCGTAGGGTGATTTGAAGCATTCGGCGAAACTTGGAAAGGTTGAAGTTTGGAAAAGGGAGAGGTTTGGCCCATAGTTGACTTTTGTGTTATCGAGGTCGGAATGCGATTTCGAAAGTTGGAACAGCTCCGTTATGTCATTCGGGATTTTCCTGCAAGATTTGGTGTCGTTTGGAGTTGATTTGATATGGTTCGGATGCTTGGTTGCAATTCTAGAAGTTCTTGAAGTTCATAGTGATTTTTTCATGTGTTTTGGCATCCGATTCGTGGTTCTAGAGGTTATTTTGATGTTCCGATCATGCAAGCGAGTTTGTGTTATGTATTCAGACTTGTGTGGGCGCTTGGTTTGGAGCCCCGAGGGTTCGGGTGAGTTTCGGAGTGACTTCGGAATAGCTCTCATGAATTTTGTTTTTTCTGGTTCTGGTTTCTTCGCATTTGCGATGTTCTGGTCATAAATGCGGCCATCGCACTTGCGAAGAACCATCGCATTTGCGATGCCTGGGCGGCTGGGCATTTATCGTATTTGCGATGAGGCTGCCACATTTGCGAAAGCCGACTTTCGCATTTGCGAAGTTTCTGTCGCCAATGCGACCTTAACAGGATTCTTCAGGCTTCACATTTGCGAAGATTTCTTCGCTTTTGCGAGTTCGCATTTGCGAACCTGGTGTCGCAAATGCGACATCTGCAGCCTGCTAAGAGCTGGATATTCCGAGTTTTTGCTTCATTTTTCATATTTTTGAACCCTAGAGTCGAGGTGAGACGATTTTGAGAGAAGATTTTCATACCAAATCATTGGAAAGTGTCTCTTAACAATTTCCAACTATATTTTGTGATTATATCTTAGATTTAACATCAATTTCATGAGAATCTAAAGGAAAATTTGGGAAAAATTGTGAAATCTTTCAAAAATGTAAAATGATGATTTGAAGGACCAAATGGTATCGGAATTTGATAAATTTTGTATGGGTGAACTCGTATCGGAATGAGTATTCGGTTTTTATAAATTTTGTCGGGTTCCAAAGTGCGGGCTCGGGGAGTTGACTTTTGTTGACTTTTTGCAAATTGTATAAGAATTATAGCTTTGTTAATTAAAATTATTTTCTCTTGCATTGTTTGATGTATTCAAGTCGTTTTTGGCTAGATTGAGCCGAGCATTGATGAATTGGTAAAGGAAAAACTAAATTTAGTATTGAATTGGCCGGATTGAGGTAAGTATCTTGCCTAACCTTGTGTGGCGGACTCCCCCCTTAGGATTTGAGTCTTCTATGCTAATTGTAGTCTGTGCATACGAGGTGACGAGTGTGTGCTCAGACTTATTTGTGGAAAGTTTTCCTTTAGGGTTCTTAGGTGCTTATGTTCATTAAGTGGGAAGTTTTCCGATATGATTGGGTTTCTTAATTGCTTGTTTTACCTCTATATGCTCCATACGACGTTGTTACCTTTCCTCTAACTCTTACTTGTTACTTGGTCCTTATTTGCCTTAATCGAAGTGATTGTCCTCCTTATTGTTTTGTTATTCTTAATTGTGAATTCCTCTATGACCCCGTGCCTATATACTATGTGTCCAAATTGTTGTGGTTGTCGGTGTAGTTATCACGTGCCTTATATGTCTTGTTATTTTTGTAAAGGTTGTTGTGCTTCTTGGTTTTTCCGTGATTCTCTTGTTGCCGTGTACTCATACTCTTGGTGGTAGAAATCGTTGTGATTGGGTTGTTGAATTGTTGTTGTTGTTGATTTTAAACTATGTCTGATTGTTGATATGTTAAGGAGGAATAAGGGAGAATTGATGTTGTCTGGTGGAATCGGGTTGCACGGCGCAACAAGGAGTAATAAGGGTGGACAGGTGGGATCGGGTTGCATACCGCAACAGGAGGAATAAGGGTATATATTAAGGAGTAATAAAGGTGGACCGGTGGGGTCAGGTTGTACGCCGCAACAAGGAGTAATAAGGGTGAATGATCATGTTGTTACTGATATGGTGATATATATACTATTTACTCTTATTGTAATTGTTAAGGAGGAATAAGGGAGGATTGGTGGGATCGGGTTGCATGCCGCAACAAATATATATTATTTACTTTTATTGTATTCGTTACAGAGGAATAAGGGAGGATTGGTGGGATCGGGATGCGCACCGCATCAATATATATATATATATATATATATATGTGTGTGTGTGTGTGTGTGTGTGTGTGTGTGTGTGTGTGTATTCCTCTTTGACTGTACAAGTTATTCGGTGGTTTTATATTTCATTTAGGATTTGGTTATAGCTGAATACTGAGAAGACCCTAGTTCATTTGCTTAAAACTTTGACAATTTGTATTTCGGGTTACTCTGAGTTGTGAGGATCGGGTTATTGGCATTGAGTTCCTTGAATTCTTTCCCTGAAACTATTACTCTGGTGACTTAATTTTTAAAGTAAATTTACTACGTTGAATCGTTTCCTCCTGTCCTATTAAGTTATTAGTAGTATTGTAATTTAAAATAAAGGAATTAGTATTACGCTGCTGTATATGACTTTTAAATTTGAATTCGCCGTGTATATATATACCTTTCAATAATTCAAATTCCTACAAATGTTATGTTTTATTTCAATTAGTTTCCCAAGTAAATTTCCTTAACCCGATGATATTGAATCTTACTTAGAAAGGAATTTCTACTAAATTTTAATTTATTAAATCCTATATTAAAGGTAATAATTCATTCGATATTGTAATTTATTTGAAAAGGGTATATTCTTTATTCAAAGGATTTCTAAAAATAACTCCATCTTTTCTTGTTGATTTCCTAATTAGTTTAGAAGCTGTAATTTACTTTATGTTATATAAATGAGACTCCTTGAAAATCTTAATTGCATTGGTTATGCACCCTATGCACCGAGTAGCATGAGGATGAAGTTGTGCAAAGTGAGATAGAAATATGTAGGCACAAGGTGCCGTGTGTGCTAAAGGTTAGGAAATTGAGGTTATGATATGAGATACCGAGGATTGAGATGGTCGGGATTGTGCATTAGAAATGATGTGATTGATTGAGTTGACATCGCTTTCTTCGTTTGAACATATTCTTACTTGTCTGTATCCCATTTATGTCGGTGTTAATTTACTTGGTTATCGTTCGTTGCTATATGTGTTTTCCTTTATTGTCTCTACTGCTTGTAGATTGAATTTTTCCCTGCTATTGATATTACTTTGTTATCTTTATCTTGGTAGTTCATTATCATATCCTGTTCAATTTATTTGACTAGTAGGTGTCTTGACTGTTCCTCGTCACTACTCCACCGAGGTTAGCCGTGATACTTACTGGGCACCGCCGTGGTGTGCTCATACTACACTTCTGTACATTTTTTTGTACAGACCCAGGTATTTGATCGATAGTAGCTGTGCGGATCGTTGCGGTGGAGACTCAAAGTAAACCTGCTGCTGTGTTCGCAGGCCTCGGAGTCACCTTCATTTGTACTTATTTCCATTTGTTCTTTTGTTTTATGTAACAGTGTGTATTTATTTTGTATAACTACTCTTAGAAAGGCTTATGACTTGTACTACCGGTTTTGGGAATTGTAATTGTTCAGAGTTATCTAATTTGAAGTTAGTAAATATCAATGTTAATTCTGTAAATGTTAGGCTTACCTAATTTAGAGACTAGGTGCCATCACGACTCTTTCGGAGGGATTTTGGGTCGTGATAACTATGGATTGGTTTACAAAGCATTGGCACAAACATAACTAGACCTTGGTGCCTAGCAGGAGATTTTAATACTCCCTTATGCTTGGATGATAGAATTGGAGGACAACTAGTGGCTGAGGCAGAAACTAGAGCTTTCCAGCATACTATTGATTCTCTTAATCTGGTGGATATGAAAGCTACTGGTAGGTTCTTTACTTGGAATAATGGACATGTATGGATCAGAATTGATAGGGCTTTATGCAATAGTGAGTGAATTTTGGAATATGGTAACATTACAACTCAATATAAAGAGAACCATTTCTCTGATCATTCGCCCATACACATAGAATTCACGACTAATAAGCCCCAAGGTAGGAAGCCCTTCAGATTTATCAATATATTAGTTGAACATGACAAGTTTCTACCAGTAGTAGCCTCTGTATGGAGTCAGACTATTCAAAGGTCCTATATGTATGGTGTGGCAGAAGTTGAAACTTTGCAAGGAGCCTCTGAAGCAGTTGATGCATGGGGAGATGCGGAGTATAGATAACAAAGTAAAGGAAACTAGAGATATACTGCAGCACGTCCAGTCCCTCCTAACCATGCAAATCGACAATACTTTTTTGGAGTTGGAAAAGCCTATATTAAGGGATATAAATAAATGGCTAGCACTTCAGGAGAAAATACTAAAACAGAAATCCAAGGCTTACTTGATAGCTGAAGGAGATGGCAATAATAACTACTTTTTCTTTTATATGAAGGCTAGGGCAAGTGTTAACAATATAGATGTACTGAAAGATGATAATGGAAACCTACTTCGACAACATAAGGATATTGAAAGAGCTTTCCTACAGTTCTACATCAATCTCTTGGGTTCAGCTGCTGAGTCCATCCCTGGTGTGGATATGAATAAAATGAGAAACGGTACAAGCTTATCAATATCACAACAGCAAGATCTGACCAGAGAGATCACAGATACTGAGATTAAAGGGGCTCTATTCTAAATAGAGGATAACATGGCCCATGAATAAATGGCTTCAATGCTTGTTTTGTCAAGACAACTTGGAACATTATTGGGGGTGATATTTGTCTGGCAATACAAGAATACTTTCAGGGGAATAGGATGCTGAGGACTATAAACAATAAAGTGATAACCTTGATCCCAAAAAAATCTCACCCTGAATCAGTGAGAGACTTTATACCAATTGCATATTGTTCCATATTGTATAAAATCATATCTAAGGTGATTACTAAGAGATTGAAAAATGTGATTGGTTGTACTGGTAGGACCTAGCCAGTCAGCTTTTATCCCAGGGAGGTTGATAACATGATAACATTTTCTTAAGCCATGAGATGGTCAAAGGTTATACCATAAAACACTTATCCCCTGGATGTATGATCAAGGTGGATTTACAAAAAGCATATGATTCGATAGAGTGAAACTTCATTAAACACATACTTATGGAACTTGAATTTCCAGTATAATGATGTCATGGATCATGACCTGTATTACTACAGTTAGCTATACATTCTTGATCAATGGACATTTGACAGACACTATGTAGGCTAAGAGGGGACTAAGACAAGAGGATCCTATGTCCCTTATATATTTGTCCTCTTAATGGAATATTTGAACAGATGTTCGGCGACATTGGCAGAAAATCCTGATTTTAGTTTTCATCCTAGATGTGGAAAGCTAAAGATTACACACCTTTGCTTTACGGATGATCTCCTATTATTTGCTCGAGGGGATGTGCTTTCTGTTCAACTTCTTAGGGACAAATTTAATAACTTCTCAGCAGCTTCAGGATTAAAAGGCTAACATATCAAAAAGCCAAGTATACTTTGAAGGGGTGGATGAAGCTACCAAACAAGCTATTCTGCATCTACTGGGATATGAGTTAGGAGAGCTCCCTTTCAAATATCTTGGTGTATCATTGTCTACCAAGAAGCAGACCATTGCCCAATGTAAGCCCTTGGTTGAGAAAATCACTGCGAGAATCACTACATGGATGTCTAAAAGTTTATCTTATGCTGGTAGACTCCAAATCATAATATTCAAAAGATAATTAAGCTTGTTAAGGCTATATGCAGAAGTTATCTATGGACTAGTGAGGCTAGCATTTCTAAAAGGGCATTGGTGGCATGGGAAAAAATCTGCGTGCCTAGGAATGCAGGTGGCCTCAATGTATTGAATATGAGGCTCTGGAACCAAGCTACTCTATGTAAGCTGTTTTGGCACTTAGTCAGAATAAGGAGAAGTTGTAGATTGCCTGGATCCACACGTATTATATAAAGAAACGGGATGTTAACCTAATGAAAAGCCCAAAAACTGCATCTTGGATGGTTAGGAAAATCTTTAATATGATAAAGCACACGCCTAACATGAATGTTCATAGTCAGATTGTTCAGCAAGACAAATTTCAAATTTCTGCTTTGTATGTATGCTTAAGAGGTGATTTTAATATTGTGCCATGGAGAAACTTGATCTACCATAATGTCTCATGTCCCAAACAAGTATTCATTCTATGGATTGCACTATACGTAGATTGAGAACAAAGGAAGTGATGTTAGGTTGAGGTATGAATGTGGATGTAACATGTGTCTTATGTAATGTAGCTGACGAATCTGCTAACCACTTATTCTTTCAGTGCTCTTATGTAAGAGGTGCTTGGTATAAAATTTTGGAGTGGATGAAATGGAGAAGAACCATACTTAGTTGGGAACAGGAATGTCATTGGGTGTTACAAAACTCAAAGGGTAAAAGTGCACGAGGCAAGCTGCTTAAAGCTGGGTTTGCTGCTATAATATATGATGTGTGGATAGAAAAAAATGGAAGAGTGTTTCAGAACAAATGCAGGGACGCAGAGGCTCTAGTACACTCACTGAGGACTACTCTATGTATTAGAATTAGAAACGATAGAGTCTTATATGAGTATGTCAGTTCTTTGTAGTAGAAATTGTGTCTAGAATGGGATGGTAGAGTAGACAATGGTAGGGATATTTTGTGCTATTTTTGAGAGGGGTAGATCTAGAGTAATCTCCCCTGGCTTGTAATTCTCACAGGTAATTAATAAAAATTTCTAATTACCAAAAAATAAATAAAATTTGGGTACTAGTTAAAAAAAATAAAAAGTACGTACAGATTAAATGGGGGCGACCAAATATCGTCGCCGTGCAATTTTTAGGATTCCTGTGGAGGCCAATTGGTTTTGTGACCTGTTGCAAAATTTGGTTAGTTTTATGTGTTAAATCTCCGCATAAATTTTTATTTTTACTCGTAAGAAATTTCAATATAAAACACCAGAGATCTTTGTGTGGTCATTTTTAAATTTAAATTATAAAACATTATATTGAATAATTTCCTTGATAGATAGGTAAGACAATGCCACCCCTCCGCCCTCCCCCCAGAAAAAGCCTTCATCCATTTTATTTTATGTGGTATTGTTTGAATGGGTACTGAGTTTAAAATGTATTTTACACTTATGCAATATATTAGTTATGATCAAAGAAAATATAAATATAATGGTTGAAAAAAGATATTGTCACATCGAAGTTAAAGTATTAATAGTTCACTCTATACCAATTCTTGAAAGTATTGAAATACAATGGTGTCAAACACCTTGGAGCATCTTAACATGACAAAACCAAAGGATGTGCATTATATCGGACTCTCCTCCCTTAACTAGAGGTCTTAGGTTCGAGCCCTGTGTATAAAAAAATCCTTGGTAGGGAGCACCACCCCCTGAATGGGGCCCTACTCGGCGCGAATCTGGATATAGCCGGGCTCCAATACGGGTACCGGACACCGGGTGGGAAACCAAAAAAAAATGCATATACATTGAAATATATCCCCGCTTCGTGGGAATATACTGAGTATGTTGTCGCTGTATAAATTAGAATTTATGGACACATTTACAATGTGAATTAAAAGTTCTATTTCTTATTGTTTCTTAATGCAATTTACATATTTAGAAATTATAGAAAATTTATAATAAATTACAATTTTTATATTTTTCTAACAATGGTATTCTGGCCTACTTGCATACACGTCGAGCTTTATACAAGTCATATTAATGTCATTTTAAATAGTCCCTTGTGGTACCCTTCCCCGAACACCGCGCATAGCGGGAGCTTAATGCACGAGGCTGCCCTTTTAGTTTATAAAATTAAAATGACAATCTTTTCTTGTGTTTGCCTTTTTTTTTTTTCTGTCGGGCAGAGGTAGAGTTTCAGCTACGAGTTCGTCTTGGCCAATGATATACATAAACTTCTCAGAGACAAATACAGCAACAAAAACAACATTTGTAAAAACAAATACAACAATAAAAACAACATTTGTAAAAAGAATGGCATACATATAATTTCTTGGTAATAAAACAGGAAAAAGAATGAACTGTTACAATATGAATCAGGAAAAAAGAGTATATAATAGTACATCTTTTGCACAAAGTATACCAATGGACTCAACTCAACAACAACAACAAACTCAGTATATTCCCACAAATGGGGATTCCAATCGACTCAATTCACTTGTTAGAACTGAGGTTTAAAACATTCTCCAGGAATCTGTCCATTGAATCGCGTCGTATCTTTACAATAATCATAGATCATGTAAGTGCTCCTGATCCAAGCCATTTGCCCTTGCTTAGCATAGCTCAATTGACTATACTCAGGAGAAGTATACCAATTATTTGGAGTTGGTGCAGTACATTGGCTAATGCTACCTGGTCCATACCAGGGACAAGCTCGTGGCGCGAAATTTCTATACTTGGCTATAAATGGAGCATTGGTCCAGTCAATCTTGTCAAGGCCACCTCTAGTTGCCCAGTTATCGGCGTTCCAAAGGCTAGAGTAAACCTTCATTCCTTGTGCGTTTGGATAGAGAATTCCCTGGCTCTGATAATTCTTGTATACTCTGATTGGTATACCGTCAACGTACCATCTGTAACATGAATGGTTAAACAATGAGTCAAGATAGCGGTAAATCCAGGATTTAAACTTGATGGGTTCAACTTTTAAGGTTCTTAGTGCTGAACCTATTGTTAGAATCTGATATTTGTTGAAATTTTAGTACTAAACTTTTACGTATATATCTATATTCTGTGTCGAAAATGTTCTAAAGCCATGGTAGACATGCTACATCCACGTCTGCCTGTGGAAGCTAAGGCACTTAGGAATTTTGAGAAAATTGGGTGTTTTGTGTTTTTAGTGTTAGACAAGGGCAGATTTAGGCCCAAATTGCGGTACACGTGAACCCATGGCCTTTTTGCCAAACTGGATATTTATGTACTATATATTTCTTAGAACTGGTCTATTATTATCTGTTGGCTGCAATGTTCCAAAATTGTTGAATGGTGCATTTGGTCGAATGCTGAGTTATTTACCCAAAGAAAGAGAGATCAATTCACACTAAATATACTTCTTCTTTTTTTATCCTTGTGGTGTACTCATGTTCTTAAAATCCTAAATCCGCCCCCGGACTATTAAGAAAATTTATGGAATAGAACGACTTACACAACTGCACTGGGATTCCAATGAATGGTATAGTTATGGTAATCAGCAGTTGGATCAAACCAAGGGTAGAATTGTTGTTCCCTGCCTCCTGCACCTTGAGTAAAAATATTTGTGTGTATAATATATGGTTGCCCTGATACATTCCCTAAAAACTCGAAGTCGATCTCGTCGTGCTTGTCACCTGTAGATGACAACTGTGGAAAAATAAACAGAAATCAGACACTTCTCATTGTATCTATTTGAAAAAATCATAATTAGAATTAAGCAGGAAAAAGGCTCTGATCATTTGTTGTAGTGTTGTCTATTGAGTATTTAAGCTAACACTTACATAGTATGCTGTGACTGTTCCAGCAGAATTTCCAGGTACTAATTTTATTTGCATTTCTATGCTTCCAAAAAGAAATGTTCCTTTTGATTGTACACCTGAACCTGAAAATGTAAACCAAAGTAGCATTTTTTTTTTGAGTGATATAACTAAAAAAAGGGA